GATGTGTTTCATCCACCCCGTTGAACGCTAAGACTATGACTACCGGGGTCGTTGAAACACTTTTTCCCATCCACCCCGTTGACGGGGCAGATCCACCGGGGACGTTGGGNTGCCACCACATACGCAAAGTGAAGTTTGGACGTATTTCAAACCTGTGGACAACGACCGGGAGAAATCGCAATGTAAAATATGTAACAAAACATATTCGCTAAAGGGCCGAACAACATCGTCATTAATAAATCATTTAAAATCAATGCACGCTAAGGAGTTTGCTTTGTTTGAAAAAGCAAATAACGAAAAGCTACAGAAAATAAAAAATGATGCCGGTAAGTTATATTTTATGCAATATTTTTTTTGTTAAGTCGGGCGTTTATTATTGTCTGACATCGCTGATTTATCCTTATGATATTATAGTAGTTTTGGGTAATTATATAGGTAGCTATTTAAAAACTTGTAATTTCTTTAATAAGGGCCGTTCCTACGTGTTGCGTAAAACTGAATTTTGAATCCAAAATCTTAGATTTGTCATATGAACTAAAATTTAGCTAAAAGTGTAGTTTAATACAGTTTTTCAAATTTAATTATTATTTTATATAATAATTACTAAAAGTAATTCATTCTCTACTTTATTATTAAATAAAAAATGATAAATAAGGCTGTGTTTCTTTCTCTACTAAGCCAACACTTAAGTTTTTTGTACAGATCCGCATCCGCATCCGCGGATGTGAGCCTCTTAAAATCCGCATCCGCATCCGCATCCGCGGATGTGGAAAAAAGTGGATCCGCAACATCCCTAATCCAGACATCCAATCTTTCGCATTTATAATATTAGTAGTTCGTTCGTTCGTTTCAGCCAAATTGAAATGACGTCCACTGCTGGACAAAGGCCTCCTCCAAGGTTTTCCACAAGGTAGTATAGACATATTATTATACGAGTAGGTCTAATTACCTCTTGTCATCCACAGCCCGTCCTCCCACATACGTGAGTAACGCAGTGGGAAAGCCGCTTGAAAGTTGCGCCACTGTGCGGTCAATCATTAGGCGTTTCACACTTGACCCTAATCTGAGAGCAAGTTACTTTGTAAGTACAATTAAGTTGCTGTACATCATCGTGCGTTGCATAGGCAGTAAAAGAGTGCCTCTACTTAAGCATAATGCGCTCTATTGATGAAAGTAAAAACGTACTTACAACGTCACAAACGGTCCGGTAACAACCGCGATTAAACGCAATTAGTTTGTCATTAAACGCAATTAATGTGTCTTATTTTACCCAAATACACATACAATTTTTATCAATAGTAGTAAATGAAAAATATTTTAAATATAGTTTGTTATAGTTATAGACGTTACGAACGGATAGTACTGTCTACTTCGAAATAATGCCTGCCACTGTTTTTTTATGCATTTAACATGGCAGTTATTTGACTACAATCGCACCTGATTTTAAGTGGGATGCAGTCTAGGATAGTACATATCTGCCCTGCATGTGCCTGTGCCTATTCACTCTCGCCTTGAAAAGGCCCGGATTATACTCGTAGTCGGATTATACTGTTGCTCCCACTGTGCTCTGCCTACAGTGCCTACCCGTTCCACAGCGAGGATTCTTTGTATGTCAGCTATCTATCGCATTTTCTTTATCTATTTAAGTACGTATTCTTATTGTTAGGGCTTTTTCATATTACCCTTTGTCGTGGTTTACGAGGTACGAGCTTACATTAAGTAGGTACACGAGCGTTTGACGGTTTGAATATAACGAATGCGCGTGCACGCTTATTCTGGCGTAAGAGAACGATTGATTAAGATTATCACACATATCAATGGAGGACACGAAGTGCTTATTACGCGTAGTAACATACGGCACGTCTACGTAAACACTGTACAGACCTTTAGTTGTAATACCTAGGTGGAATTTTCACATTATAAGTCGGTCGCCACACGACTCACCGGTGGTTGATAGACTAGTATTATCTTATATAGGTACCTACTTAAAAAGACAATGACGGAAATTGACGTCTTTTTTTTTTCGCGCGGCCATCATCAGCAATTTCTTACAAAACTTGCGCGCAAAAAGCAAATCTAGTATGTAAAATCATCAAACTTCTAATGCTCGTGACTCAGTTCAGACTGAGTTTAGAGGTATACGTGCCATAGTAAGTTTGGTTTGTTACTTTTGTAATCAAAAAACAAAGTTTGGTCGATGGCCGCGCGAAAAAAAAAAGACGCCACTTTCTATTCAAAATCTGGCAATGCCATTTTGTAAATCTAATAACAACTTTTACAAGAGGTACCGCAGTGTTTACTAACTAATGTCCGTTCAGAATTTTCAGCAACTTACGGAGAAAAATGCGGAGGAGTGCTTAGGCCCAGACGACAGTCTGATGACGCACTAAAGTTAGATTGACATAGCAATAAATTAATAAACCGATCTCATTTAAACTGACGACGTGCGTGGGTGTGGTTAACTAGAAGACGCCCCCTTAAAAACTGTAGTCAAGCGGTTATCTATCATTTAATGATGCAATTGTTTATTTTCTCTCTTCGCAGTTCGCACAATACTGATCTTACTTCAGTGTATCGTCGAAATAACTTCTGAAAATTACAGCGCCAAAAGTTCGGTCAGATTACTTAATAGTTCAGTAATATAAGTAATGAATAATCTACAAGTGTAACAAATCAACTGAAATTATGTAGCGATTGGCATAACACTGCACCTTTCATGTATCTCTAGCAATTTAAAATTGTAACCGCGACGATGTTACGTTATGCGACCGAAAGTTCAGTAGGTGTGTACACTTACGCCCGTATTCACAAAATTACTATGAGGTCTCACAGTGCGCGTGGACGCACAGGGTGATACACGAACCAATCATAGAGCTCTATTCAACGCTGTGCGTTCGATTTGCTACTTCACGTAATCAAGCAACCATCGTTTGTGAATATGGGCGTTAAATAGCTAGGCTCATAAGAACTTTGTGCTCCCGGCCAAGGCTCCTAGGAATACATTCCACCTGAGTTTTCTCGAATTCAGTGGTGGAATTTGTCAGCAATAACGCAACCTTGTCGGGATTTAAGATTAGACCACCTAATTACTTCGGAACTAAGTATGTAGTTACTATGTGAATTTATTCGTGCATTAATTACTAACACAGCCACGTGGTCTACCCACGCCCGGCTAAATCCAGCTTAACACATGATTATCATATATTTGCTATGCAACCTACTTTAACCCCCACGCTCATTTCAAGACAAGACATTTTCTCTTACAATTACAAATACAATTTAACAAGATTTTAAGAACTTATAACTAAGTAGGTACTTACCTGGTACTGCAACTCCGGATCCATATTCTGCGAAATCACCTCTGGGTTCTCACGAAATGTTGGTATCCAACCTCTTCAAAAGTACACCACACACACACACCACTAGTTTTCACTATAACACCGGTTTCACGAAAGTTTCAAGACAAAAGTCACTCGTCACTAAATACGCGTTTAAAATCAAGTCGTGTCAATGTTTTTTTATTTATCACTTCACAGCACAAAATTAACTGATTTGTACTAAAGTCTACACTGAACCACACTGAACTAAAAATAATGAACCCCATTATTTTTTCAACTACCCTCCACTGAACTTCTTCTTCTTTTATTTTGGCAACGACTTGGTTTTGAGAACTATGATTTCGCCGATGTCACGTAAACAGCTTTGACAAAGTTACAGGATTTACAAAAACACAAAAATATTTTTCTTTATATTATTAAGTAAAAATTATTTGTGTGAATACCTAAAACGAAACAACTGAATTGAACTTTTCCAAGGATTCTCGAGCGCAATGTCAATGTCAGTGTCAAGAACACGCACGTCTCACCGGCCCACGTGACCAATGACGTCAAGCAGTTCATGTCACAGCCACACTGCACCGTGGGTCTTGTCTGGTGCAGTGCAATACGTAGGTACTGTATAGAGATGAGACGTATTTACTAGAACAGATCCACAAAGTAGGTATTTTACAGTACTAAGCGGCACCTATTCCAATTTTTAAAATACTTGATCCACCTAGTATTTTATAAATTACACGATTTCCGACCCTACCTTCAAAGTAATAGAGGTTATTATTGCGTAATCCGTAGTCGTGTATTACGCGCACCGAGTATTTCTCGCTAAGCTTATGTGCGAACGTAGAGATTCACTCCGTCTCTGTCTAACCAAACAAATTTAAGAGCGCGACGAAGCAAACGCACACAAACGTAGTCAAACCATATTCATGTAAAAAAGAAAAAAATATGTGAATATTTTTATGAAATTGATATCTTTTAAATACGCCAACTTTTAAGTTGACAGTCCTAAGCGTGTTGAAGTATGAAGGGAGGAATTATTATTCAATTTCAAATTGCATTATTCATATTACGGTTGTATCTTTTCAAAGAAAATTGTATTTTAAAGTCATATTACGTGGATTAGTCCGCACTAGTCGCGTCAAGTATGCTAAATTACTACGTACTAGGTGGAATAGGTATTTGGATCGAGTATTAATAAATACTAGGAATAGGTGCACCTAGTATCAAATTTACCTAGTATAACCCATCTCTATACTGTAGGGTACTTTTAATATTTATTTTAAACAACATACTGTCTTCTAGGCAGTCTGGAAAAGATCGCTTAATAGTAATAAAACCGCCTAGTCTCTTCTTTTCTTTGTTTTCTTATTTTTTATGGTGTGCAATAGTGTTTATCTATATTTTATTGATTTTTAACTAGCTCGGGTGACGTTTAACCGATTGAGTCCCAGACGGCATTAATTAATGTCATAACAATTGATTATCTATTGTGTCTAGATTCGCGGAGCTTGAAGGATTAAAAAACGTCAACTTTTAAACGTCCATGATTAACGAACACTTCTTTTACCTAAGGTCGTATGGAGGTCATCAATTTTAATATTTAATTGAAAATTCTTTCAGTTAAACTCGATATTGGGGAAGGGCAAACTGAAATAAAAGTTTGAATATAAGAAGAAATGTTTATTTCTTTCAAAATGTCCTAATTCAACCGTTCGATATGATTCACTTACGCTTACACTAAAAGCGAACGATACAAAATCAACGTAAAACAATGTTGGACCCGTTTCCCAATTATTTTAAATATTTATGTGATACTTTATTAAATTTTGAACATCAGAAATCTGAAATAGAGTAACGAATACTGTAAATTGTATCTAATATTTATAAACGCTACTCTATATTTTATATTTCATACAATTTGTAACATTTGAATAAATAGAGTGAAAATTGGAAAACGGTCCAAAATACATCTAGAATTTTCGAGTAGTTTCATGAAAATTCGTTGTGTGGATTATTAGAGAGAGAACGAAACAAATAAATACTAATTAAAACGAATCAGTTCTTTTGTGACCATTTTCTACAAAAATCAACACAAATGTATAAAATAATGAGGATTTTCAAAATAGCATACATGCAATTCATTACATACGAATACATTATAGAATACGTTTAAATGTACATAAGTAGAGTATACCGATACTACGATCGAGGGTTAGTTGAGCGTCGAACTTTACAGTATTTGTTATATTATAGACATCATTTTTGTGTATGGCCGATATCGGATTCAAAATTACGTTAATCAACGACTTTTAGCAGCACTGCAGTAACATTAATACTCGAAAGATTCAAGGGAGTCTTATTAGTACTCATTTACTAATATTTTGAAAAATATATAAACTTACAAAACTTTCAAAGGCAGTATTTCTCCCATCGTTCACGGTGCTTCCATAAAAATGCGTTAGACTATCTACTGTTATTATGTGAGAACATTGGGCAGACCCAATTTCACACCTATTTGTGCCACAGTGTAAGTTTGTGTTCATGTGAACACACAACACAGTCCAATGCTAATCAGACATCCACAAAAACAATTATAGACACGTCATTAAAGATAACCTACAATATTCGTGAATGATCCACCTTATTCAACAATATCTACATTAAAATTATCTAAACGGTACTGATTTATTGAATAACCAGTAAAAACAAACGTTTAAACAAGACTACATTATACAGTCTTAATTCCAAGTTTAAAAAATTTTGCTATTGAAAAGAATAAATTTTATTTAGAAAATTTAAAAATCCATTTATATAAATTACTTATCGTCTATACATATAAATCCTACAGTTTAAGTTGTATAAATTCAACCTGATCATAATGCATATCTAAATATTTATCTAAACTAGATGGATAATAATTACATGCGGTACATTAGATACTATTTAATTAAAAAGTTAAACCACCGAAATTAGGTTGAAAATCAATGTAATATTTTATGGCAGTGTCTTAAAACAATAATTATACGTAATAAGCGTATTGTTCTTAAATTATAAATTGAAATTAATGTGATAATAAGTAAAATTGTCTAAAAAGTATAAACAAAAGTTTATAAGAGTAAACAAGAAGGTGTAAATTATAAAAAGTTGTTTGACAATTTGTTTCCATTATTTACATATTAACGTTTACAGATTGTAGAACCGAACTTTTACAATAGTGCCTGTTATTTACATACTATAAAAATGTAAAATTGGTAAGTTTTTGTCAAATTATGCCTCCAAGGAATTATTGTTGCACTTCAAACGACAGAAGCTTCATATCGCCGCAATCGAAGGATTCGATTTCCAATACAAAAATAAATTCATATCATTATAACGGGAATAATTCCTTTGGCCCACAAATATTAACAACGATAGCAACCATTTAAAAATATCAAGACGGGCGTGAAATTTTTATACATTTTTGATTTTATTTTACAACAGAACTAGTTCAACATCTAACAAACACAGCAAACGTTATTATTATAATGTATTTGTAGAAACTTTAATAAAAAATGATAATAGCAACACTTGCATGCTTGGCTTTAGTACGACCACTGCTTTGATTTGATTTTAATAATTAAGTCCTTATTTTCAAAAAGTTGTTTGTGGGGTATTAGGGGTTGCCTATTTCAAAAAACTCACATGTTTTTTTAGTTAGACAAAACAGCGGATTGCTTTAGTCAGACGGTAATTGCTAAACAACTAGGAATATGGTAGGAATATGGTCGATTCCTAAAAGCCATACCATAAAACATTGTCATAAAACATTTTGAGTGAATTGTAATATACATTACTGATAACACGCATATACTATACAATAAGTCTAGTTATAGATCACTAGTTACTACAAAACCTCTATCAAGAGCGTTAAGCTGGACTGCTCGAGTCTCTTGTCTCTCGTGGTCAACACTTATAAGACAGAGACGGAAATAGTTTCTAGAGCTCTTATAATCATTGTCGAGTATTAAAAAAATAAACACAGCGCGGTCTACTCCCAAGCTCCCTGATTTTCCCTTACAAATCTAACCTAAGCCAAAGTTAGTCGAATCATCGAATTTATCGAGATTTACTTATTTTTAATATGGCAATTCATTAAATTACGATCATTACATAGCTGCTCTCTCGCTAGGTAGCGCCAATTCGGAATTATGTTAAATTCTGTGTTTGTTTAAAATCGTAATAAAAAATGTGTCATCAAATATGGCCTGTAATAGGCATCGTTTCCAAATTTTGTTAGTTGTCAAAACGCTATTATATCCCAGCAACACAAGCCGATGACGTCACAATTTCGCACAACTGACAATCAATTTCAGAGCGAGTAAAAATCGGGATTCACATTAGTTTTCAGGGCTAGAACAGTATTATTTTGGACTTAACTCGTGGAACTATTGGTTGGTTGACCCAATACATCGGCAGTCACTCGTGCGGACAACTCTGCACGAAGGAAGCTGGGAACAGCCCGGTGCGGCCGGTGCGTTGCAGCGTGCCTTTGTACCAGCCGTCGCCGCGCTTGCGAGATACCACCACTATGTCGTCCACTTTCAGTTCTAGCTCGTATTCCGAATTCGGCGGGTAAGGGACGATGCAGCGGAATCTGAAATATAATTGTGTAATGAGAATAGGGTTCATAAATATCTTAACTCTATTGTAACACCAATAAATGTACAGAGGAAAGTTAAGTGTTTATTAGGCTTGCAAACAGAATTATATTCTTTTCTTTTCCATGAGTCTCTTCTAAATCAAAACCGTAGGTTTATCAGATTTTGAATCTTTATTGATATTACTTTCTATATTCAAGATCATCATTGTATAATCTAATGAGTTAACATTGAAAAATCAACTTGATGCAACTAAGACAATCGGTATAACTATCAACAAAGTTGTTAACCTTCAATAAGTTCAAATATTTTATGCTAATGAACCTTAGACCATTAACCAGACCGCAAGACTAGAAATAATGAAGGATTTAAAATGAGTAAGAAATTGCACACACCTCTCTTTAACATTCTGCGAGTGGTGGCGGTCTCTCCGCACCGCGGTCACGTCTAGCGACTGCGACTTGCGGTGCTGCGACTGCCACGGCCCGTCGTTGTTGGTTGAACTGCAATCGAAGATTACGTTCAAACGTGTGGAAGGATAAATACGTGATCGTATTTATTTAACGCAATCAGATATCGGTGGTTATGTGAAAATTTTCAAGTGCAACCCAAAATCGTAGGACTCTAGGAGAATTTCTAGATTTACAATATGTATTAAAAGTTAACTTATATCATAGTGTATAATTAATAACATAGTGAAGTGAACATGATGCGAGTGAAACCAACTGTGGAGTCGATGATGATAGCGTCATACAATAAGCACAAAAACAAAACAAACAAAATAACACATTAAAAAGCTTAACAATATCATAACATCGCCGTTAAATCTGTGACTTCTATTATTATCCCTTTATTTAACTTTTTTGATTAACTATTTCAGGTAAACAAATTGTTTACCACATATTTTATACCAGTAACAGTGCATGCAAATTAAATTGAATTAGTAGTCTTTATTAATATCAAACAGAGCTCGTTACCTTGATAGTTTCTGATTGACTCAGTCGCCTTACCTATAACTGGGCCTACACCAAAACTTGCGCTGGCGCACCCACGCGTGTTTGTATCGAAGAATAGTATAAGCAGCGCAATGTGGCGCAGACGCGAAAGACGGATTTCGACACACGTCGCGAGGGGCGAATGTACAGTCGCGGAATGAAAAGGTTCGTCACCTTAGTGTCGGTTTTCGCTTGCACTAGGTACTGTGAGTCAAACCTGCCAACATAACAGTTCAAGAAACAGTGCTGCTAACATTTAAATAAATATGACGTTTGCTAACGAATAAGGTTTTGCTTGTTTATTTTTCTATCCCATCAGTGCAATGCAATGATGACATTGACCAATTGACAATAGTTTTTTTATTTAATACGAATATTAATGGCGGGTTGAACCAACAAGAAGGTTTTAGTTTATCAATCATAATAATCTTCTTGACAAGTTAAATCGTCAAACAACTTTGGTCTGAAAAATTTTGAACTTTACTGGCGAACAGTTAAAGATTATTTTCTCTAACTCGAGATTATTCTGTAACATAGTTTCAAAAGGTAATATGTGCTCGCGATTCGTTGAAGGAATCAATTTGTAAACTGACGAACCTTTTCATTCCGCGACTGTACAACCCGATCGAGCTAACTGCGTACCACGCTGGAATGCGACTCTTCTCGCACTCACCTCGCGTTCGCCCCGTCCGTACCAGAGCGTCGACATGACGTCACGACTGCCAGGTACGCAGTAACTCGACCGGGTTATAACAGCACGCCTCAGCTGCGTCAGTGGGCCTCAACCAACGTGGAATCATCCGGTGGGCTTGTACCGCGAGGGCGGGACAATGGTACTAGGGTCGAGCTTCAGTAAAGTCCGTCGCTCTAGCGATTCCCCCAACACCGACCAGCCATGAGCGTATAGCTTTCGAGCCTTCAGGTTCAGAATGTCCAATTTCCAAAATGTCCAACGGTTTCAAAATTTCCAATTCCCGGAATGTCCAGTTCCCGAAACGTCCAATTCCCAAAATGTCCAATCTTCTATTATGATGGGTTAACTTATTTAACAAAGTTCTCATAGGCTTTCTTTAAAAATTTTAAATAAATGACCATACTTAAATTTAAATAATCATTTATTTATTTACAAATTATTCTTTCCTTTTTAGGTCAAAAGAAAAAAAAGAAAAAATATAAATAACTATTCATACTTGTACGAGTATAAAGTGCAGTAGGTACCAATTTTTTCTACGTACTTTTTACAAATAATACTCTATGTTTATATGCCGATTTCGCAAAAACTAAACGCATTCGTACACTACTATTCGTACACACAACATTTTGGGAATTGGACGTTTCGGGAACTGGACATTTCAGGAATTGGACATTTCGGGAATTGGACATTTCGGGAATTGGACATTTTGGGAATTGGACTTTCTGGGAATTTGACATTTTGAAACCGTTGGACATTTTGGGAATTGGACATTCCGGACCTGAAGGCTTTCGACTTTCGAGCTATAAGCCCGAACCGGCCAATAAGTCGAAGGAACCCGAATCGAGCTGCGCCAATGCTGTGTACTCACCGCGCGTGCTCATGGACGCACAGTACGGCGGCATGCTCCTTGTGGCGCCGCTCGGTGCCGGGCAGCGCGCGCAGAAGCTGCGACGGACACGAGCCGGACCTGTGTTATTGTGCGATTAGTCGTCGACGAGTCAAGTGTTCGCTTTTTTAGGGTTCCGTAGTCCTGACAAGGAACCCTTATAGTTTCGATATGTCTGTCTGTCCGAGGTTTTGCTTGGAAACTATTCGCACTAGAGAGCTGTAATTTTGTGGAGGTATGTAATATGTATATTAATCACGCCGACAAAACGGTAAAATAAAATACTGAAAAAAATTTTTTTTAATAACCTCCAAGTTTTAATCTGTGTGCGATTCGGATTCAGAGCGTGCATATGCCGAAATGCCAGCTAAAACTGAGCGGGAACGGCACTAAAACACGGGCGCGAAATTTTAGTTGAAATGGAACGCGATAGTTTAAAATCATATAATCTGGATATTTTAAGGTTTCAAAGCTGGATCAAAAGCTGGAGCGTTTTTGATCTGTGTGCAATAGACTATTGCTACCATTCCCCAATGATTCGAAATCACAACTTTTTTTAAAAGACTATTCTGGTCTTAAAAAAATAATTAATTTTAAATTACCTGTAAAATAAGATTTTAGGTTGCATTGTAATTAAAAAAGTAGTTTGAATTGACAAAATAGTGACGTCACTTGCTGTATTGCCATATAAAATCTATACAAGTCTCGTTATGACAGTTTTAAAAAGTACATCAATTGATTGGTGGTGTCAAATAGTCTAATAAGTACCATCAAGCTAATATTCCAGTTAATCCCTCCAAGAAAGCTTACATACGTGCTTGTGTTAGGAGAGGGTTCACAGCCCAGGGATCAAAATAACCCACTTTATATCGTCTACATTTCAGCACACGAGAACTCATTTGCATCGAAATAATTCCGGACAAGGTCCTTACTTTATACCTAGATTCATAGTACTCCTTAGGTGAGAATCTCATTACGAGAAAGATCTTTTTTTTTGTAACTTGTAATCAATCATGGTGTAGGTAAATTGAAGCAACGAAGAACTGAATTCAAAACTGGGGATTCACTTGACTTGTCGATATTACACAGAGGTGTGAGGCGACACAAACGCATACAATGTGATGAGTGCTGTGTTAGCCCAACCGGTAAATCATTTTGTACTTCCCGCTCAACATCAGTATCTGATTCTGTTGATTATATCATTATTATTAATTTTATTTATTTATACTTTTGCACATAAGACTGTACAGTGGCGGACTTAATGCCAGCTGGCATTCTCTGCCAGTCAACCCCAGGTCGAGTAGAGAGACTAAGGCGGTACAATAAATGAGCAAGTTTCATTTATGTACTTTTACAAATAACCAAATAATATTCAAGATATCGAGCGAGAAACACAGCAGCACACATAATGTTAACACACAAACGCATGCGTGCACAAAGCACAAACAATGATTGAGGATGGTCGGTGAAATAATAATAACATTTAACTCCTTTTAAGATAACAAGAATTTTAAACTGTTAATTATGAAAAATCTAAAACGTTAAAATAACGGTATAGTTGTGGCCAATGAGTTGCTGTCATAGTGACATTGACAATACGTCAATGTCACACGAGAATCAAACGTCAGGATAGAGGGACGTGCGGAGACGACTCCGCGCGCTTTTGTGCTAAGTGATGAATTGTATCTAAAATAAGGCAATATAATGTATAAGATGAGTATCCAGTGTTTTATTTATGAGAATAGATCTACCGGCCTCTAATAAAACTTAATGAGGATCAGTACTGTTGTAGAAAATTCAATAAAACTAGTATCTACGTTAATCTTTAAGACATAAGAAAGATATATCTTTTTGAATTATCCAAATCGGACCATTACTTACGAAGATATTAAGTAATAAACATAGGCCGTTTTTGCCGCTAAAAGTCAACGTACGCAAGGNTATCACCTTAGCATTTTGTACCGCCGTAGCAATGTGAGCCGTATCACGAGGCGGTAGGATGCAATATCGCGTACCTTGTCGTGCTTGAGTCGCAGCCTAGTATCACCTTAGCATTTTGTACCGCCGTAGCAATGTGAGCCGTATCACGAGGCGGTAGGATGCAATATCGCGTACCTTGTCGTGCTTGAGTCGCAGCCTAGTATCACCTTAGCATTTTGTACCGCCGTAGCAATGTGAGCCGTATCACGAGGCGGTAGGATGCAATATCGCGTACCTTGTCGTGCTTGAGTCGCAGCCTAGTATCACCTTAGCATTTTGTACCGCCGTAGCAATGTGAGCCGTATCACGAGGCGGTAGGATGCAATATCGCGTACCTTGTCGTGCTTGAGTCGCAGCCTAGTATCACCTTAGCATTTTGTACCGCCGTAGCAATGTGAGCCGTATCACGAGGCGGTAGGATGCAATATCGCGTACCTTGTCGTGCTTGAGTCGCAGCCTAGTATCACCTTAGCATTTTGTACCGCCGTAGCAATGTGAGCCGTATCACGAGGCGGTAGGATGCAATATCGCGTACCTTGTCGTGCTTGAGTCGCAGCCTAGTATCACCTTAGCATTTTGTACCGCCGTAGCAATGTGAGCCGTATCACGAGGCGGTAGGATGCAATATCGCGTACCTTGTCGTGCTTGAGTCGCAGCCTAGTATCACCTTAGCATTTTGTACCGCCGTAGCAATGTGAGCCGTATCACGAGGCGGTAGGATGCATTTCCGCGTACTTTTCGTGCTTGAGTCGCAGCCTAGTATCACCTTACCAATTTGTACCGCCGTAGCAATGTGAGCTGTATTACGAGACGGTAGGATGCATTTCCGCGTACTTTTCGTGCTTGAGCCGCAGCCAATATGAGCCGTATTACAAGGCGGTAGGGTGTAGTTCCGCGTACCTTATCGTGCTTTGTAGCCAGCATAGTACCGCTGTAGCAATGTGAGCCGTATTACGAGGCAGTAAGATGCATTTCCTTGTACCTTGTCGTGCATGAGCCGCAGCCAATGTGAGCCGTATTACAAGGCGGTAGGGTGTAGTTCCGCGTACCTTATCGTGCTTTGTAGCACAGAATAAGTAATAGTACAGGTACAGAAGGTTTACTCCGCACGACGATTTAAATAAATGCGAGTCTTGCTGGGACGCGATACAGTGGAATTCAGCTCGCACAGCACTACGTACCTACAATTTTATTCACCTACAAGTTTTGTCTCTTTCTATCGCGTGCCTCTGAACTCTTCTTACGCTGTTAGGGTTGCTGTCTAGTGAAAAAATAATTAATCTACTTATTTGTAATGAGGTACGTATGTAGGTAAGTAAAAATAACATTTCAAATATACCTAATTAGGATTAAAAAAACTTGTTCTATTACAATGTCTTCATTCATACCTACNGTCTGTCTGTCTGTCTGTTACGCTTTCCCGCTTAAACCTCGCAACCGATTTTGATGAAATTTGGCATAGAGATAGTTTGAGTCCCGGGAAAGAACATAGGATAGTTTTTATCCCGGTTTTTGAAACAGGGACGCGCGCGATAAAGTTTTTCTGTGACAGACAAAATTCCACGCGGGCGAAGCCGCGGGCGGAAAGCTAGTACACAAATAATATTCAAGATATCGAGCGAGAAATACGGCAGCACACATAATGTTAACACAAAAACGCATGCGTGCACAAAGCACAAACAATGATTGAGGATGGTCAGTGAAATAATAATAACATTTAACTCCTTTTAAGATAACAAGAATTTTAAACTTAATTGGGTAATGCTATCGTGTAATTTACCCTGTCAACGCCTAAACTAGCACGGAAACGAACTCGAAATGAAGTCAGAACTTCACTTCGGGTATGTTCGTTTGATCACTCTGGTGGCAGAGCGAGCTATCTTTGAGAAGAGTATAACGTCAATGAAGTTCTAATAGTCAGTGCCTTAGTAATTTTTAAGGTTTTATTAACATTTTGATGCCATTGGATGAAGAAAGACCGAGTGCTTTTTCCGAACAATCTCCTTTAAAATGTAAATTTTTGACTTACGCACTGTTAGAACTTCACTGACGATAAAGTGCTCTAAAAAAGCCTATCTGGAAGAGATCACCGATAAGACAGCCTTAATAATGCAGTCTCTTTTATTTTGTCTTGACTTGTGTAGTGTAGTGTTTATCTATCTATCACTGACCTGACATGCACGGGGTGGTGTTGCGAGGCTAGGTTCAGCATCAGAGACGTCCCAGGCCCGTCTTCGAACACAGGATTGTCCATACTGTAGCCACTGGGAGGCGGGGACTTGCATTTCTTCATGGCTGCCAGCCGCTTCATGAGACTAACGCCAGTTGATATGGAGGACTTTTCTGACTTGGATTTCTCTTTTGACTGTTTGGGAAAATGTACTGTTCTGAGGTGGTCGTAACTTTGGTTATTGTTTGGTTATAGTAACTACGAGCAAATACTAGTGCAAACACACAATACAGGTACTTTTATATTTAGAAAGTCGGCTCTGTTGGAATTTAATTCTGTGGTTTTCGGAAAAGCACACCGCTGCCACCGCTGGTCATAAAATCTTATTGAAACTTAATTACTAAAAAGTTTTTAAGTTACCTACTTACCTTTTCAGATCTAGGGGTGTTTTGTTGTTGCTGTAGCTGAGCCTGTGGACTCACGCTCCAAGGGTATGTCAGCGGTTGTGCTGTTGACAGAATTTAGATAATGGTAAAAAAAAAATAGGCATTTTTTTTTTATTAGTATTTGTGTAACGCCTGAACAAATACATAGGGCAATATTTTGGCGTTAGCCATACATTTCGAATATAAAAAATATATAATTTAACTATTGAGGTATGTCTCGTTCCTGTCGGGTCTGGGTTTTTTTTCTATGGAGCGTGACCGTTCTTCTTTTATTTAAAATTTAAATTTTGTTATCATAGAAATGTGTTTGTGATGTCATTGTCACAACTATTTTTTTTTTCATTCATTATCATTTTACAAAGGAAGTTCTTAAACATTATTCCAATTTATTGCATTGGCATAAACCACTGAGGTTTGTTTGCTATTACTTTGAAAGAAGGTATAAATAAATAAATAAATATCCTTGGACATTTTACACTGCGCCGCTAGTCCCAAACTAAGTAAAGCTTGTACTATGGGTACTAGACAACGGATATAAACGTACTTAAATACTTTTTTTTTTGTAAATACATACATATTATACATAGAAAACACCCAGACCCGTCACAGAAATTAAAATTCATCATTTCAATTGGCCGGGAATCGAACCCGGGACCTCTCGGCACAGTAGTCCGTTCTGAACCACTACCACTACACCAAACGGCCGACAAATGTATGTTAACTTAAATACGTACCATTGGCGTTGGGCGGGGATTGCGCCCTGGGCGGCGCGTCGGGCGGCGCCAGGCTGCCGCTGGGCGGCGGCGCCTGCGTCGGCTTGGCCACCGCCGTCACTGGGGACGCTGTACTCTGCAAACAACATTTACGTCACTATTTACGTCAACCGTGACGCTACATCTACGATATCATAAATGTCCAACAATGAACCGTCCCAGCTATGACATTGTCAAGAGGGCGCTACTATCTATACTGGATTATTAGTTCCAATTTTTGCCATGTTGAACAAACAGGAAGGCGCTACTATCAATACTGGGTTAGTTTTTGATATTCGCTATTTGGCGTTTCAGGATACTGATACCCCGCAGACTACAGACTTTTTTGTCGGCGGATAGTATGATCGGGGCTTGATCAGTATGAACATACATGAAATACGCACCATACACTGATTTGGTGTCGCAGATTCTTCATACAAATTATAACGACTAAAAGTCCTTAGTAATATTATGCGAACTACTTCCACGGAGGCAACGTTGCATTTGGATATCTTCTTGAAGCAGTTGCGATTGAGTTACAATATTCAAGCGGATCACGAATGTTGTATAGACCCAGCAATGTCAAAAAGCTGGCAATGAAAGAAAAAAGGGAGATAGTACTTTTTAGCGCTCCTTAAAATCGGCTGAAATGTCGATTGCACCGCACAGTGCTCGCAACGTGGCGGGAATATTGCATTGTGAGCCGAATAAGGAGGCAGTATGGTGCAGTTCCGCATACTTTGTCATGCTTGAGCGTAGTCTTTTACCACCGCAGCAATGTGAACCGTATTGCGAGGCAGTAAGGTGCAGTTTATTTATTTATTAGGTACACCAACAACGTCACATACATAATACAGTTATACATTTTAACATGGTTTAATACATGATACGTATATGACCTCAATTACAGGTATACACAACATTTCTTTTTGCAATGTTAGGGTAATTATACACTAGTAAAAACAAAAATCAATTGAATAGAGTTTAGAGTTTAAGCACCGAACAATATAAAGTTTCCTTGTACCTTGTCGTGCTTGAGGCGCGGCGAGTGCTTGGCGGGCGCCACGTAGTTGCCGGGGAACACGCCGCAACGCGCCGAACGTTCGCCGCAGCCTTTGTACCAGCCGTCGCGGCATCTCTCCGTCACTGTGTACACCGCTGTGGGAGGTAAAACAACTTTATCATAATATTTCACTAATATGGGTCTAAAATAAATATATAACTCTGTCATGTCACTTAACTAAGCCTAAAACAATGGAATTATATTCATGCCCGTTACAAAGATAATAGATATTCGAAATACAGGCCCTTATCCACTCTTAAAAGTTTCTACAATTGATTTTCTTTGTTGTTTAAAGACATTTTTTAAATAAATAAATAATAAAAAATAAATAATAATTTATTCTCATAAAGACAAAATATTTATTTATTTTATTTATTTATTCTTCAGCACACAAAGTAACAAATACAATGTGTAAATATCCCACTTATAGATCGTTTCATCCACGAAGACGCGCCCCACCATTCTTCCTCTAATGTTTGAGTGTTATCGGTACACACTATACTATATCTATGAGTGCACACGCACACTACAATAATGACGCTCGGATTGCTCGGATCAAAATCCCCGCAAACCGCACTTCGTGGTTTGGCCATCATCATCATTTCAGCCATAGGACGTCCACTGCTGAACATAGGCCTCCCCCAATGCTTTCCGTGCTGCCCGGTTGGTCGCGGCCTGCGTCCCACGCCTTCCTGCTACCTTTATGATGTCGTCGGTCCACCTTGTGGGTGGACGTCCCACGCTGCGATTTCCGGTACGCGACCTCCACTCCAGAACCTTGCTGCTTCATCGGCTGTCAATTCTGCGTACTATGTGCCCTGCCCATTGCCACTTCAGCTTGCTAATCTGTCGGGCTATGTCAGCGACTTTAGTTCGTTTACGGATCTCCTCATTTCTGATTTGATCTCGTAAAGAAACACCAAGCATAGCCCTCTCCATAGCACGCTGTGCAACTTTGAGCTTCTGTATAAGGCCTATAGTGAGAGGTCACGTTTCCGAACCATAAGTCATCACTGGTAACACACATTGGTTGTACACTCTAATCTTCAAAATCAAAATAAAAAATCAAAAATATTTATTCAGTTTAGACCACAAGTGGCACTTATGAACGTCAATAGAAAATAATNCGGATGTACCGCGCGGAGTGAGCCAGGCCTGTTTGTAGCCAGTAAAGTACGATGAGCCGTATTGCGAGGCAGTAAGATGCATTTCCTTGTACCTTGTCGTGCTTGAGGCGCGGCGAGTGCTTGGCGGGCGCGACGTAGTTGCCGGGGAACACGCCGCATCGCGCCGAGCGCTCGCCGCAGCCTTGTACCGCCGCAGCAATGTGAGCCGTATTGCGAGGCAGTAAGATCCATTTTCGCGTACCTTGTCGTGCTGGAGTCGCAGCCTTGTACCAGCCGTAGCAATGTGAGCCGTATTGCGAGGCAGTAGGGTGCAGTTCCGCGGACTTTGTCGTGCTTGAGCCGCAGCCAATGTGAGCCGTATTACAAGGCGGTAGGGTGTAGTTCCGCGTACCTTATCGTGCTTTGTAGCCAGCAAAGTACGACAAGGCTATGTGAGCCGTATTGCGGGCTCGTAAGGTCCATTTCCGCGTACCTTGTCGTGCTTGAGTCATAGCCTTGTACCACCGCAGCAATGTGAGCCGTATTACGAAGCAGTAAGGTGCAGTTCCGAGTACCTTGTCGTGCTTGAGTGGCACCCTTGTACCACCTTAACAATGTGAGCTGTATTGCGAGGCAGTAAGATCCGTTTCCGCGTACCTTGTCGTGCTTGAGTCGCAGCCTTGTACCGCCGCAGCAATATGAGCCGTGTTGCGAGACAGTAAGGTGCAGTTCCGTATACCTTGTCGTGCTTGAGCCGCACCCTTGTACCAATGTGAGCCGTATTGCGAGGCAGTAAGATCCATTTCCTTGTACCTTGTCGTGCTTGAGGCGCGGCGAGTGCTTGGCGGGCGCGACGTAGTTGCCGGGGAACACGCCGCAACGCGCCGAGCGCTCGCGGCAGCCTTTGTACCGCCGTAGCAATGTGAGCCGTATTACCACAGAATAATAATAAGTACTACGTACAAGAGTTTTACTTCGCGAAGTTATTTAAAAAAATGTATGCTCAATGTCATTAACAATATGGTGTAATTTAGCCTGTCTCAAGAGTCAAGTACCATTTTGTTGACAAACGTCAGTGATCGGCACTGCGCCGAAGCTATAGGGCTGACTTCGGTAAAATTATGTGACGTGAGGTGCCAAACTGCGGAAAATGGCGGAGAAAATACATGATTTAGCATGAATTATCATGAATAAGTAGTCTTGAGGCAACTTAAAAAAGAACATTCTGTGTTTTTATTATTATTTAGGCAGTTAAATACTGTACAGTATTTAGTACACCATTTTCTTTATTTTCTTCCATCATACACAAGAATACGCGTGCGTGAGTCAATGTTCGCTCGTATGTGAGGCCTTGTCGAATAGTGTCCTGTAGGTGGGCCATCGTGCGTGTTTTGTTTTCGATGTAAACTCGCGGAGATGAACAGGCCTGGTATTACGAAGCAGTAAGGTGCAGTTCCTTGTACCTTGTCGTGCTTGAGGCGCGGCGAGTGCTTGGCGGGCGCCACGTAGTTGCCGGGGAACACGCCGCATCGCGCGGAACGTTCGCCGCAGCCTTTATACCAGCCGTCGCGGCAACGCTCCGTTACTGTGTACACCGCTATAGAACATACAACAAAACACATCACTCAAGTCAGCAGCGACACAATAATATCAAGGTGTTCACGATAATTTTGAATTACATACAACTTATCTAACTAGATCTAAAACAATGAACTAGCGTTATAGCCGTAACCGGGATAAATGGAATTAGCGACCGCCCGCGACTTCGTACACGTAGCTCCCGTTATATCCCCTTAGGTGTTGAATTTCGCAAAATCCCGTCTTAGTGAGCACCTACGTTCTAAAAGGAACCCCCATGCAAAATTTGAGACTCCTAGCACTTGTAGTTTCTGAGATTTCGTGGTGAGCAGTTAGTCAGTGACCTTTCGTTTTTTATACATACAGGCCTTCTTTCTGCTCGACAAGTTATACAATCAATTTTGAACCTTAACACAACGACACAAAGCTCAAAATCATTCGTCCTACCTCCTTTCTTCAACTCCAGCTCGTCTGGCTTCTGCGGCTTGTAAGGGTACAAAGCGACGTAAGCAGCGGGCAGCGGACGCTCGTTACTGCGCGAGCGCCGCCGTCGCCTCTCTCGCTCCCTCTCGCGCTGGCCGCCGTCTCTGTCTCGCTCTGGCACGTGGTCTAGTAGGCTGGTGGTGAGGATCTCTGCTGAATGCCTGTAAAACAAAAAATAGTGGAATTAGAACCTTTGGCAGTCGCAAATGTGAGATCCATGCATTATTATGTTAAAACACGGTGTTCAAACTTTTGACTATGTTCATATATTGGATTATTAACTCTAGTACCTCAGCTAGACTACTTACGAAGTTGGCCGAAGTTAATAATGCAGATACGCACTTCATTTGGCTTCGAGCAACCTCTCCCGATTTTCGATTGCTGTCGGTACAAAGGGCTTAAAGCGTTGAAGTTTGAACACTGTCTGACTGACTATACTATTCGGCTAACTTCGGTATTTCGTCGAAGCGCCGCGAAGAGAAGAAAAGCTCATAGTGTATTAGAGAAGTGCGTTAGACGATTCATCATCATCATCATCATCTCAGCCACAGGACGTCCACTGCTGAACATAGGCCTCCCCCAATGCTTTCCATGTTACCCGGTTGGTAGCGGTCTGCGTCCAGCGCCTTTATGATGTCGCCGTTAGACGATTGCGTTAAAACAAATCATTCACCTGTTCTGCGTAGCGTGCGATCCTTGCAGATGCTCGGCCGGCGTGAGCGAGTGCCGCTTGTCGCGCGCGCGCCCCGCGTACTCCTTGTGAGCTGGCGACAGCGCCGCTTGTAGCCCTAGGCCGAAGTTGAGTAGGGAGTCCGGCCCACTGTAGATAGTTTTTTTTTTTTTAAATATCCTTGGACATTTTACACTGCGCTTCTAGTTCCAAACTAAGCTCTAAGCTTGTACTATGGGTACTAGACAACGGATATAAACATACTTAAATACTTTTTTTTTTTTGTAAATACATACATATTATACATAGAAAACACCCAGTCCAATACAAACAAATATGTTCATGCACACAAATGTTTGTACTGTGCGGGAATCGAACCCGCAACCTCCGGAATAGTAGTCCGTTTCGAACCACTACACCAAACGGCCGACAAAAACCGTTAACACACATATCAAGGTAAACAGTGTAGCTTCTTATGTCATTGTAATACGTGTTTATTTGTAACAAAATTCTGGTGTATTGTCGCCGATCATAACACTGAAAAAAATGTTTGGTGACTGCTTACACAACAAAAGTGACCACCGAACTAAGTGTTAACTATAACCAAACTAAGTCTAGCTCACTACAGAACTATTTGTTTAATTTACACAACATTTTGTTCCTCATAACCAAAGTGTTCGGTGGTCACTTTTGTTGTGTAAGCAGTAACCAAACATTTTTTTCAGTGAACAAAAGCTAATAAACCATAAAACATCACACACATCACAACCACGGGTGGATGTGAACATCAAACAACCGCGGTGGAGGTGACGTCATGTGTGTGACTTCAAACGCAAAATGAAGTAAAATTGAGAGAGATATCATTATGCCAGAGTTGCGGGTTTCGGCTGCTTGCGTGATATTTAAACACAGCTTGCAGTATGAATTCAGGATTTATTTCAGGAGTAAGGAGAAATTAATTTACAAAACAACTTTCAAAGCTAGCGCGTTAAACTCGTTCCGTTCAGCTTTGAGCTAAGAGGATATGAAACTCACCTAGACCGCAATACGGTCTTAGAAGACGAAGGGGCGTCCAGTCTTGGCTCACTAGTTGCATTCTCTGTCGCCTCTTGATTCTGCGCGGTTTGCGTCGCCGATCCACTCGCATTCGATGCGGTGGAGGCGTTCAGTTTGGGACTTTCAGAAGGCGGCAAACTGACGTTGAGAGAGGTGTTGGTTGCGGTGGAACTCTCGTTCAGACTCAGTACTCCCATTGAAGTATTGAGCGAAGATTCCTGGTGGAAACAAAATATTGTTAAAACAATGAACTTTGTAGACCAGGGACCTAGTCCATTTGAGAAGTGCCCAGTGGGGAGTATGCCTAAGCGCAGACCACCGACTTTTTAGTTGGCCGATAGTTGGGTCGGGCTGTTAATCAGTATGGGCATCTGTAAAAGTGCGCACATTGGTATCAGCCGATTCTTCGGCTGATTAATAAGTCTGTAGTCAACGGGGAGTCTAAGGAGGTGCGGCACGCGGTGGCTCTCCTTTTGTGAGATGACTGTTTCGGCGGAGAAGGAGCGAGAGGTCTCGGTTGGTCAACCTATAACCTATAACCTATTATACAGCTAGTAGCTGTAGTAGGTTGGTTGGTTGGTGGGGGTCCCCACTGATCGTCCAGGACCAGACAGCAGAAAAGCTTTCGCCCTCCTCCTTTCTTAGGCTCGGTTTCCACCAAGGCGGAACGGAGCGGAGAAGTGATTTGAATAACCTATCAGATTTTTTGGTTTCGTAGTACTCCGCGCGTCTTTTGTTCTCGATGCCTGTTCGGAGAGATGATACCTGGCCGTAGGCTAAGACAGCCGAATGTACACACCTGCTCGGGCGCCGGCAGCACGGTGGGCGGGCAGGCGTTGTTGTCGGGCGAGCTGGGCAGGCTGGGCTCGGCGCTGTCGCAGGCGTGGTGGTGGTCCCGCCGTCCGTACAGAGCGTCGGTGTGACGTCACGTTACACACACCTGCTCGGGCGCCGGCAGCACGGTGGGCGGGCAGGCGTTGTTGTCGGGCGAGCTGGGCAGGCTGGGCTCGGCGCTGTCGCAGGCGTGGTGGTGGTCCCGCCGTCCGTACAGAGCGGCGGTGTGACGTCACTACACACCTGCTCGGGCGCCGGCAGCACGGTGGGCGGGCAGGCGTTGTTGTCGGGCGAGCTGGGCAGGCTGGGCTCGGCGCTGTCGCAGGCGCTGGCGCTGCTGCTGCTGTTGGGCGTGGTGGTGGAGCTCACGCCGAACGACGATGGTGTGTTCATACTCGAGCTCGAGTCTGAGCTCGCGTTGTTTGAACTGGAATAAACAATATCAGACTCATTATTATTATTGGTTTTTGGGCCTTCATTTGCGCCAGCTCGACCAGGTTTGATCTATTGTGGCCGCCCTTGTCTTTAGAGTTCACTGCTTAGTCCCGTTGAGTCTATAAATTTCCAGATTCTTTGGAGCGTGATATCTGCTATCTCATCCGGGTGCATGATGTGTCGCCAGGGTCGCTCATCCGGGTGCATATCAGACTCAATCAGTTGGACTGTAACAACCTTCTCCATTGCAATTTCTTTGAGACAATGTTATATGATCTTTGAAATCGGTATGGTGGTCGCATAAGGGTTAAATTTCGTGCGCAACCGGTCGCAAGAATCAGCCACTCGCGCCTCGGCGTGTATTCCTAACGCTGGCGTCCGCTACACGAGTCACGTGAGCGCTTGCAAGAGTTCAACGACCTCACATCGGGTGGCCCGGGGAGTGAAATGATAGCCGAAGACGATGTTCGGGTATATTCGAGCGCTATTCGTAAAATGTGACGTCACATAAAATCTGCGAGACATTAGAAAGTGTTTTAATGCTTACCTGAAATTCACAGGAAAATGTTCATGCGCTCGGACATTCTGATACGTAGTTTCGATCTTGTGAATCGGCGCAGAAGTCGCGTAAGGGTCGAATTTCGTGCGCAACCGGTCGCAAGAATCAGCCACTCGCGCTACGGCGTGAATTCCTAACGCTGGCGTCCGCTACACGCGTCACGTGAGCACTTGCAAGAGTTCAACGACCTCACATCGTGCGGCCCGGGGAGTCAGATGACAGCCGAAGACGACGTTCGGATATGTTCGTGCGCTATTCGTAACTATGACGTCAAATACAAGGCAACAATATTTAGGGTGTCTTACCTGAAATTCACAGGAAAATGTTCATGCGCCCGGACATTCTGATACGTAGTTTCGATCTTGTGTATCGGCGCAGAAGTCGCGTAAGGGTCGAATTTCGTGCGCAACCGGTCGCAAGAATCAGCGACGCGCGCTACGGCGTGTATTCCTAACGCTGGCGTCCGCTACACACGTCACGTGAGCGCTTGCAAGAGTTCAACGACCTCACATCGTGCGGGCCGGCGAGTCAGATGACAGCCGAAGACGACGTTCGGGTATGTTCGTGCGCTATTCGTAAAATGTGACGTCAAATACAATCTACAAGGCAACACTATTTTAGGGTGTCTTACCTGAAATTCACAGGGAAGTGTTCATGCGCCCGAACATTCTGATACGTAGTTTCGATCTTGTGTATAGGCGCAGAAGTCGCATAAGAGTCGAATTTCGTGCGCAACCGGTCGCAAGAATCGGCCACTCGCGCTACAGCGTGAATGCCCAGCGCTGGGCCGGCGCCGGCGTCGGCCACGCGGGTGACGTACGAGTTCAACGACCTCTCATCGGATGGCCCGAAGGGGACGTTCGGGTATACTCGTGCGCTATTCGTTGTTAAATGTGACGTCATATAGAATCTAAGAGGTAACAGCAACTATTTTGGGCTTACCTGAAATTCACAGGGAAGTGTTCATGCGCCCGCACATTCTGATACGTAGTTTCGATCTTGTGAATCGGCGCAGAAGTCGCGTAAGGGTCGAATTTCGTGCGCAACCGGTCGCAAGAATCAGCCACTCGCGCCACGGCGTGTATGCCCAGCGCTGGGCCGGCGCCGGCGTCGGCCACACGGGTGACGTACGAGTTCAACGACCTCTCATCGGATGGCCCGAAGGGGACGTTCGGGTATACTCGTGCGCTATTCGTTGTTAAATATGACGTCATATAGAATCTAAGAGGTAACAGCAACTATTTTGGGCTTACCTGAAATTCAGAGGAAAATATTCATACGCCCGCACATTCTGATACGTGGTTTCGATCTTGTGTATCGGCGCAGAAGTCGCATAAGGGTCGAATTTCGTGCGCAATCGATCGCAGGAGTCGGCCACGCGCGACACGGCGTGTATTTCTAACACTAGGCGTCCGCTACACGCGTCACGTAAGCGCTTGCAAGAGTTCAACGACCTCACATCGTGCGGCCCGGGGAGTCAGATGACAGCCGAAGACGACGTTCGGATAATTATATTCGTGCGCTATTCGTAAAATGTGACGTCACGAAATCTACGAGACATTAGAAAGTGTTTTAATGCTTACATGAAATTGGAACATTGGATTGGAATACCTTGCGAAAGGTCAACGACCTCTCATCGGATGGCCCGGCGAGTGAGATAATAGCCGAAGACGGCGTTCGGATATATTCGTGCGCTATTCGTAAAATGTGACGTCACATACAATCTACAGGGCTTACCTGAAATTCACAGGGAAATGTTCATGCGCCCGCACATTCTGATACGTGGTTTCGATCTTGTGAATCGGCGCAGAAGTCGCGTAAGGGTCGAATTTCGTGCGCAACCGGTCGCAAGAGTCAGCGACGCGCGCCACGGCGTGTNCACCATACACTGATTTGGTGTCGCAGATTCTTCATACAAATTATAACGACTAAAAGTCCTTAGTAATATTATGCGAACTACTTCCACGGAGGCAACGTTGCATTTGGATATCTTCTTGAAGCAGTTGCGATTGAGTTACAATATTCAAGCGGATCACGAATGTTGTATAGACCCAGCAATGTCAAAAAGCTGGCAATGAAAGAAAAAAGGGAGATAGTACTTTTTAGCGCTCCTTAAAATCGGCTGAAATGTCGATTGCACCGCACAGTGCTCGCAACGTGGCGGGAATATTGCATTGTGAGCCGAATAAGGAGGCAGTATGGTGCAGTTCCGCATACTTTGTCATGCTTGAGCGTAGTCTTTTACCACCGCAGCAATGTGAACCGTATTGCGAGGCAGTAAGGTGCAGTTTATTTATTTATTAGGTACACCAACAACGTCACATACATAATACAGTTATACATTTTAACATGGTTTAATACATGATACGTATATGACCTCAATTACAGGTATACACAACATTTCTTTTTGCAATGTTAGGGTAATTATACACTAGTAAAAACAAAAATCAATTGAATAGAGTTTAGAGTTTAAGCACCGAACAATATAAAGTTTCCTTGTACCTTGTCGTGCTTGAGGCGCGGCGAGTGCTTGGCGGGCGCCACGTAGTTGCCGGGGAACACGCCGCAACGCGCCGAACGTTCGCCGCAGCCTTTGTACCAGCCGTCGCGGCATCTCTCCGTCACTGTGTACACCGCTGTGGGAGGTAAAACAACTTTATCATAATATTTCACTAATATGGGTCTAAAATAAATATATAACTCTGTCATGTCACTTAACTAAGCCTAAAACAATGGAATTATATTCATGCCCGTTACAAAGATAATAGATATTCGAAATACAGGCCCTTATCCACTCTTAAAAGTTTCTACAATTGATTTTCTTTGTTGTTTAAAGACATTTTTTAAATAAATAAATAATAAAAAATAAATAATAATTTATTCTCATAAAGACAAAATATTTATTTATTTTATTTATTTATTCTTCAGCACACAAAGTAACAAATACAATGTGTAAATATCCCACTTATAGATCGTTTCATCCACGAAGACGCGCCCCACCATTCTTCCTCTAATGTTTGAGTGTTATCGGTACACACTATACTATATCTATGAGTGCACACGCACACTACAATAATGACGCTCGGATTGCTCGGATCAAAATCCCCGCAAACCGCACTTCGTGGTTTGGCCATCATCATCATTTCAGCCATAGGACGTCCACTGCTGAACATAGGCCTCCCCCAATGCTTTCCGTGCTGCCCGGTTGGTCGCGGCCTGCGTCCCACGCCTTCCTGCTACCTTTATGATGTCGTCGGTCCACCTTGTGGGTGGACGTCCCACGCTGCGATTTCCGGTACGCGACCTCCACTCCAGAACCTTGCTGCTTCATCGGCTGTCAATTCTGCGTACTATGTGCCCTGCCCATTGCCACTTCAGCTTGCTAATCTGTCGGGCTATGTCAGCGACTTTAGTTCGTTTACGGATCTCCTCATTTCTGATTTGATCTCGTAAAGAAACACCAAGCATAGCCCTCTCCATAGCACGCTGTGCAACTTTGAGCTTCTGTATAAGGCCTATAGTGAGAGGTCACGTTTCCGAACCATAAGTCATCACTGGTAACACACATTGGTTGTACACTCTAATCTTCAAAATCAAAATAAAAAATCAAAAATATTTATTCAGTTTAGACCACAAGTGGCACTTATGAACGTCAATAGAAAATAATAAAAAAAGAAAAGGTAGCCCTTATGGGGCACTTTACATGTCTCCTTATCTTTTGGGCCCTACCAGCGCTTCGAGACAAACATATGGCAAGTGCTGAGAAGAAACGCCGGAACAAACTCAGTCACCACTTATTGCCAGGAATTAGGTATCTAACGGTAAGAATAGTCAAATTTAAGTGCATCAAATATGTGCAGACTGAACTGAATTCAGATATAGAGCTCATTCATCTTCAGTGCCTACCTCCTTTCTTCAACTCCAGCTCGTCTGGCTTCTGCGGCTTGTAAGGGTACAAAGCGACGTAAGCCGCGGGCAGTGGGCGTTCGTTACTGCGCGAGCGCCGCCGTCGCCTCTCTCGCTCCCTCTCGCGCTGGCCGCTATCTCTGTCCCGCTCTGGCACGTGGTCTAGTAGGCTGGTGGTGAGGATCTCTGCTGAATGCCTGTGAAATAAAAATTACTGATATTAGAACCTTTGGCAATCACAGATGTGTTCAAACTTTTGACTATGTTCATATATTGGATGATTAACTTTAGTACCGCAGCTAGACTACTTACGAAGTTGGCCAAAGTTGATAATGCAGATACGCACTTCATTTCGCTTCGAGCAACAAAACAACGCCCGATTTTCGATTGCCGTCGGTGTAAAGAGCCCGGGACAAAGGGCTCAAAGCTTTCTAAAGTTTGAACACGAAGAGTTTGACTATACTATTCGGCTAACTTCAGTATTAAATAGAAGCGCCAAAGCAAGTAAGGTAGCTGAGGAATAACCCATATCGTATTAGTGAAGTCCGTTAGATGACTGCGTTAAAACAAATCATTCACCTGTTCTGCGTAGCGTGCGATCCTTGCAGATGCTCGGCCGGCGTGAGCGAGTGCCGCTTGTCGCGCGCGCGCCCCGCGTACTCCTTGTGAGCTGGCGACAGCGCCGCTTGTAGCCCTAGGCCGAAGTTGAGTAGGGAGTCCGGCCCACTAGAGATAGATAGATAAACCGTTAATACACATATCAAGGTAAACAGTGTAGCTTCTTATGTCGTTATACGTGTTAATTTGTAACAAAATTCTGGTGTATTGTCGCCGATCAACCACCCGTGGTTGTGATGTGTGTGATGTTTTATGGTTTATTAGCTTTTGTTCACTGAAAAAAATGTTTGGTGACTGCTTACACAACAAAAGTGACCACCGAACTAAGTGTTAACTATAACCAAACTAAATCTAGCTTACTACAGAATTATTTCTTTAATTTACACAACATTTTGTTCCTCATAACCAAAGTTTTCGGTGGTCACTTTTGTTGTGTAAGCAGTAACCAAACATTTTTTTCAGCGAACAAAAGCTAATAAACCATAAAACATCACACACATCACAACCACGGGTGGATGTGAACATCGCACAACCGTGGTGGTAATGTCAAGTGTCCTATTGCATCGTTTTGTTGCCGACATACCGTAAATTAAAGCAGCTGACTTTACACGCAAAACTAAGTAAAATTGACAGAGAGATATCATTATGCCAGAGTTGCGGGTTTCGGCTGCTTGCGTGATATTTAAACACAGCTTGCAGTATGAATTCAGGATTTATTTCAGGAGTAAGGAGAAATTAATTTACAAAACAACTTTCAAAGCTAGCGCGTTAAAGTCGTTCCGTTCAGCTTTGAGCTAAGAGGATATGAAACTCACCTAGACCGCAATACAGCCTTAGAAGATGAAGGGGCGTCCAGTCTTGGCTCACTAGTGGCATTCTCCGTTACTTCCTGATTCTGCGCGGCTTGCGTCGCCGATCCGCTCGCATTCGATGCGGTGGACGCGTTCAGTTTGGGACTCTCGGAAGGCGGCAAACTGACGTTGAGAGAGGTATTGGTTGCGGTGGAACTCTCGTTCAGACTCAGTACTCCCATTGAAGTATTGAGCGAAGATTCCTGGAAAAGATATATTGTTGGTGAACCTGAATTAGTTTTAGATAAAACCTAGAGCAGGTTAAGAAAGTTTGAAGTGGGATGGTCAGGGATTATCATGAGGTGCACCTCGGGCAAATTCAGAGTCTTTTGATAACGCGTGCGGCTGATTTTTCATCTATGCGGCAGCTGGTTTCGTCAACTCGGCGGCTTCTCAACAACTCTCAATCGAGGGGAGCCGGTAAAGACCCTCTGGGCATCTGCCATCTAGATATCTAAAAAAGACGGGCGCCGGTGGAATCTATACCAGGGCCCATTCTTTTGGAGAGCCGCGCTTATTACTTCTCTAATTAGCAGAGTTAACTAAGCAGCGGCATGGAGCGACCGTAACCCTCTATAGCGGGCCGAGAATATTGCTTCACCGAAGAGTAAACCTCTATTAAAAAAACGGCCAGTGGTGGTCGAGCTAACTGCGCGCTCGAATGCAACTCTCTTTCGCACACTTCCCGCGTTAAACCTGTCCGTACAGAGCGTCGGTGTGACGTCACGTTACTATAGTCTGGTCCGTGAGCCCGTAGAATTTTGTCTAATGACCCCAAGCTACCCATCCTTATCGCTCTCGCGTAATTATGTTGCTGGATGCGGGCAGCGCAGGACCGTTCATTGTGGAAAACCTTGGGGGAGCCCTTTGTCCAGCAGTGGACATCATTTGGCTGAAACGATAATTATGTTGCTATCGCGCTCGCACACTCACTGCGGGTGCCAGTCTCACAATCGCGACAGCAATATAATTACGCGCGAGCGATAAGGATGGGTAGCTTGGGGTCATTGGACAAAATTCTACGTGCTCACGGACCAGGCTTTACCTGCTCGGGCGCCGGCAGCACGGTGGGCGGGCAGGCGTTGTTGTCGGGCGAGCTGGGCAGGCTGGGCTCGGCGCTGTCGCAGGCGCTGGCGCTGCTGCTGCTGTTGGGCGTGGTGGTGGAGCTCACGCCGAACGACGATGGTGTGTTCATGCTCGAGCTCGAGTCTGAGCTCGCGTTGTTTGAACTGGAATAAACAATATCAGACTCATTATTATTTTTTGTTTTTGGGCCTTCATTTGCGCCAGCTCGACCAGGTTTGATCTATTGTGGCAGCCCTTGTCTTTAGAGTTCACTGCTTAGTCCCGTTGAGTCTATAAATTTCCAGATTCTTTGGAGCGTGATATCTGCTATCTCATCCGGGTGCATGATGTGTCGCCAGGGTCGCTCATCCGGGTGTATATCAGACTCAATCAGTTGGCCTCTAAAAACCTCCTTCATAATGCAATTTCTTTGAGACAATTTTATTTGATATTTGAAATCGGTATGGTGGTCGCATAAGGGTCAAATTTCGTCCACAATCTGACGCAGGCGTCAGCGACTCGCGCCACGGCAAGAATTCCTAACGCCATACGCACGCCACGTGAACGCTTGCAAGAGTTCAACGATCTTACATCGGGTGGCCCGGTGAGGAAATGATAGCCGAAGACGACGTTCGGATATATTCGTGCGCTATTCGTAAAATTTGACGTCACAAAATCAAAATCTACGAGACATTAGAAAGGCTTACCTGAAATTCACAGGAAAATGTTCATGCACCCGAACATTCTGATACGTAGTTTCGATCTTGTGTATAGGCGCAGAAGTCGCATAAGGGTCGAATTTCGTGCGCAACCGGTCACAGGAATCGGCGACTCGCGCCACGGCGTGTATGCCCAACGCTGGGCCGGCGCCGGCGTCGGCCACGCGGGTGACGTAAGAGGCTTACAAGAGTTCAACGACCTCTAATCGGACGGCCCGACGAGTGAGATGATAGCCGAAGAGGACGTTCGGGTATACTCGTGCGCTATTCGTTGTTAAATGTGACGTCATATAAAATCTAAGAGGTAACAGCAACTATTTTGGTCTTACCTGAAATTCACAGGAAAATGTTCATGCGCCCGAACATTCTGATACGTAGTTTCGATCTTGTGAATCGGCGCAGAAGTCGCGTAAGGGTCGAATTTCGTGCGCAACCGGTCACAGGAATCGGCGACTCGCGCCACGGCGTGTATTCCTAACGCTGGCGTCCGCTACACGCGTCACGTGAGCGCTTGCAAGAGTTCAACAACCTCACATCGTGCGGCCGGGCGAGGTAGATGACAGCTGAAGACGACGTTCGGGTATGTTCGTGCGCTATTCGTAAAATGTGACGTCACATAAAATCTTCGAGACATTAGAAAGTGTTTTAATGCTTACCTGAAATTCACAGGGAAGTGTTCATGCGCCCGAACATTCTGATACGTAGTTTCGATCTTGTGAATCGGCGCAGAAGTCGTATAAGGGTCGAATTTCGTGCGCAACCGGTCACAAGAATCAGCCACTCGCGCCACGGCGTGTATTCCTAACGCTAGCGTTAGCTACACGCGTCACGTGAGCGCTTGCAAGAGTTCAACGACCTCACATCGGGTGGCCCGGTGTGTAAAATGATAGCCGAAGACGACGTTCGGATATATTCGGGGATTTCGGGGAGTCAGATGACAGCCGAAGACGACGTTCGGGTATGTTCGTGCGCTATTCGTAACTATGACGTCAAATACAAGGCAACACTATTTTAGGGTGTCTTACCTGAAATTCACAGGAAAATGTTCATGCGCCCGAACATTCTGATACGTAGTTTCGATCTTGTGAATCGGCGCAGAAGTCGCATAAGGGTCGAATTTCGTGCGCAATCGATCGCAAGAATCGGCAACGCACGCCACGGCGTGAATTCCTAACGCTGGCGTCCGCCACACGCGTCACGTGAGCGCTTGCAAGAGTTCAACGACCTCACATCGGGTGGCCCGGTGAGTGAAATGACAGCCGAAGACGACGTTCGGATATATTCGTGTGCTATTCGTAAAATGTGACGTCACATAAAATTTACGAGACATTAGAAAGTGTTTTAATGCTTACCTGAAATTCACAGGGAAATGTTCATGCGCCCGCACATTCTGATACGTAGTTTCAATCTTGTGAATCGGCGCAGAAGTCGCGTAAGGGTCGAATTTCGTGCGCAACCGGTCGCAAGAATCAGCCACTCGCGCTACGGCGTGTATGCCCAGCGCTGGGCCGGATCCGGCGTCGGCCACGCGGGTGACGTGCGGATGGAGGTGTAGATGGATGAGGTCAAGCGAGTGCTTGGGCTCGCGGGACACCAGCCCGTGGGATATCACGTGCTGGTTCACTGGTTGCTGGACCACCACCTGGGGAAGTGAAAATGTTGTTGTAAGCGTAAGATTTTAAACTTTCGCGTTCCATTTCAATTAAAATAGACACGGGCCGTCGTCAAGCCGTGTACATAATGTAACTCATTAATAAACGTCGCGTTAAGACCCGTGTCTTAGTATTTTTGTTGTAAGCGTGTTTCATCATCATCAACATATCAGCCATAGGACGTCCACTGCTGAACATAGGCCTCCTCCAATGTTTTCTATGTTGATCCATTGGTAGCGGGCTGCATCCAGCGCCTTCCTGCTACCGTGTTTAGGTGCTGCTAGCGTGTTTAACCAAATCATTTATGAGGGCTATCGGCTTAGCGATCAGCAGTTGGCACCACTGTGTAAAGCCCTGTCACTTGCTAGTGGCTAAGACAGTAGTGCCAATTGGTGAGCGCTGAGCATTTGCATTCGCCAACATGGCGCCACTGTAGAGTAAGGTACCGTCACTCACCAGCGATGCCAACTTTTAAGTACAAAAAGTTATTGCAAACATAGGTGAATAGAGATGTGCCGAGTCAGACTGACTCGAGTACTGACTCGAATACTTAGCAGGTACTCGGATCCACAATACTCGAATACAGATTTCGAGTACTCACGGTATTCGAATACTAAGTCGTGTACTTTAATAGCAACCTTTGACTGTACGCCGTACAGTCGAATTTTGTATTGAGCGGTGCGCGTGCTGGAAGTGACATACACCAGTCACCTGCTGCGGGTGCGCCGGCTGCTGGTAGGCGGGGTGCGAGTGCGCCATGGCGGGCTGGTAGCCGCCGGGCCCGGCCGCGCCCAGCGACAGCGACGTCTGCTGGGAGCGGTGCGCGTGCTGGAAGTGACATACACCAGTCACCTGCTGCGGGTGCGCCGGCTGCTGGTAGGCGGGGTGCGAGTGCGCCATGGCGGGCTGGTAGCCGCCGGGCCCGGCCGCGCCCAGCGACAGCGACGTCTGCTGGGAGCGGTGCGCGTGCTGGAAGTGACATACACCAGTCACCTGCTGCGGGTGCGCCGGCTGCTGGTAGGCGGGGTGCGAGTGCGCCATGGCGGGCTGGTAGCCGCCGGGCCCGGCCGCGCCCAGCGACAGCGACGTCTGCTGGGAGCGGTGCGCGTGCTGGAAAGAAATAGAAGTTAAAAAAATTACAAATTACCAAGCTTGTACTATGGCAACGGATATAAAAACAATCTTTTCCCCACTATCCTTACGTCACAGAATAATAAGTACTACGTACAGAAGTTTTACTTCGCGAAGGTATTTAAAAAAATGTATGCTCAATGTCTTTAACAATATGGTGTAATTTAGCTTGTCTCAAGAGTCAAGCACCATTTTGTTGACAAACGTCAGTGATCGGCACTGCGCCGAAGCTATAGGGCTGACTTCGGTAAAATGATGTGACGTAAGGTGCCAAACTGCGGAAAATGGCGGAACAAATACATGATTTTGCATTTACCTCTCAGTGTCTTGAGGCATCTTAAAAAAGTACATTCTGTGTTTTTATTATTATTTAGGCGGTTAAATACTGCACAGTATTTAGTACACCATCTTTATTTTCTTCCATCATACACAAGAATACGCGTGCGTGAGTCAATGTTCGCTCATATGTGAGGCCTTGGCCCTGTAGGTGGGCCATCGTGCGTGTTTTGTTTTTGATGTAAACTCGCGGAGATGAACAGGCCTGCTTACGTCCACGAAGACGCGCCCCACCATTCTTCCGCTAATGTTTGAGCGATAACGATACACGCTAAAATATCCATGAGTGTACACACACTTCAATAATGACGCTCGGATTGCTCGGATCTAACTCCCCGCACCCCGCGCTTCCCTCGATCAAAAAAATGGTGGGGCGCGTCTTCGTGGATGAAACGATCTATGGACGCAATCATGCGTGTGCACCGTTACTCCGGACTACTACCTTCGATGCAAATGTGATGCAGCAAACGCTACATAAAGTCCCATCGGCATCGTTTCAAACGCGAGTCATAATAACAAAAGCTGGGACTTCTTAAAAAATACTCTACTTCTTACTTTACAATAATAATGTTATAACTGTTATAAACTTAAACTACGTAAACTGTACTTTAAGCCTAAGGCTGTAGGTTGGATGAAGAATGACCAAGATTATGGTTGCAGCTCCTATTTATATGATGTTTGCGGCAGAAACTTGTTAGTGGAATCTTCTAGTGAAGTCCACGGTGTTATAACAATCTTTGTTCTTATTTTTAATGTCTGTATTGTTGTGGATGGGTTGACTCGCGCATGATTCCATACAAATACATGATCGCTAGGGTGGCGAACGGCGCTACTCAAATGCGTGTTTGTATCGCTGCAAAAAGTCACAATGTGTAAGCTCCCTTTACCTGTGTGTGATGTCTGTGGTCGGAGTGGCCCGCTCTCGCGTGTTCTGGCAACGGGGGCACGGGACGGTTTAGGGGAGCACTGAAACAGACAAAAAGCTACTTTATTACAAATACTTTAGAACTAAATTCACAGAAATCTACTATTCATTCATTTGCAGAAATCAACTTCTCAACAAAACATAAAGCAATGATTGATAAAATTATAATATCTGAATACATACATTTTATTTCTGCTGTAGAGTAATACCCATAACAAAGAAATAAAACATGGTTAGGTTTTCTTCTTTGTACATTGGCATTATGCTGTGTGACAATAATCTAGAAAATGACAGCAAATACAAATACAGCCCCAAAACAGTTCGTTTTCAATCGGCTGTAAAATTTTACTTTAGTACATAGCTTCGAACTCAATACATTTTATCAGTCAAGAAACTTGAAAGCTAGTTCCCATCGACATAAAAAATCTATGTGAGAATAGAGTTTTGACTGCTCATTGCGTGTATAATTTTTGTCTCATATTCACATTAGAATATGTTTAGATTCATTCATTATATGGGTGCATCATAAAAAGTTTGTCAATTGACTAAAGCCCGGTCTGTGAGCACGTAGAATTTTGTCCAATGACCCCAAGCTACCCATCCTTATCGCTCGCGCGTAATTATATTGCTGTCGCGACTGTGCGACCGCAGTGAGTGTGCGAGCGCAACAGCAACATAATTACGCGCGAGCGATAAGGACGGGTAGCTTGGGGTCATTGGACAAAATTCTACGTGCTCACAGACCAGACTATAGAGCGAACCACCCTGTTTGCTGCTTAAACCCGTTAACGGACATAATAAGATCATTTTTTTCTGTTTTGAACCATAACAACAGGGAATAAGATTCAAAATATCTTAACCTCAGTACGTACCTATTCATGAGATGCCTGGCGGGCTGGTTTAGCTCCACGAAGGCGATGGGGAAGATGCCCACGCGTTGCTCCAGTCTACCTTCAGCCCAGTTCTCGTCTACGCGCCGGTGGACTGTTATTATCGCGCCTGTAGGGAAAAAAATATATTTGAAAGATAAATCACATTTTATTTATACTTGACGCAGCGGAGACCTCTTTTATCAAGGAATAAATGCATTGAATGAGGGTTTTTTCGAATGAAAAATCCGCCAGATGGTAATACGTAGAAGAAGCTAGGTCCAAATGCTGCATGATTGGTTATTTTTGACATGACATTGACAGATATGTCAAAATCCACCAATCACGCAGCATTTGGACCTCGCGTCTACGTATTGCCATCTGGCGGATTTTTCATACGCGAAAACCCTCATTGCTTACCTATGATTATTTGACAAGAAATAAGAATATACTTGTTGATCGTTTTTATTACTTGTCTTGTAAATCATATATCCTGTAATAAAGAGTCTGACAATGGTGACTGTTATTCCGTCATTTCTTCTCAGTCAGCACTAGCTGATAATTAATTTTATGTAGTCCCAAAGTGGTGGTATAGACTATATGTATTTGGAACGTGCTGAAAAGGAGTCCTTATAATTAATTTGAATTTACCACTTGGGGGGCAGAACAACTTATGTAAGGCTCACTCGCTCACTACATTGAAAGTCTTGTGACATATCCATTAAAATACCTCAGTTCTCCATCCAATAGAAGAGAGAAACTTATAGAACTTACCTTTGTCGAAAGCAAGGCATCCTTCCTCGTCCGGCGCCGACATGCGAAAGTCGTAGAGAGCTTTACAAAGCGCCGTAGGGACCGGCAGTGGCACAATCACCTGAAAAGATGATAGGCATTATTATCTGCTGACAACTATTTACAGACTAGATGAAATATGTACATACTTAGATAGTGGCAAAAGGACCATATAGTCTTTAAAAAACAGGTAATCTTTTAAAGACCTTGTACAGCATAAAAAGACTTAAAAAGACCGAAAGAAAGAGGGTTCTCAATTTATATTACAGAATTACTCGATAGAATAGACAGACTTAATACAGATTACTACATGAAAGCTTTGTAGCATCTTATAGAGTTGCAGTAAGGGCAATCCTACTAATCCTACTAATATTATAAATGTGAAAGTTTGGATGTCATGATGTCTGGATGTTTGTTACTCTTTCACGCAAAAACTACTGAACGGATTTTGTTGAAACTTTACAGTATTACTGTTTATAACCCAGATTAACATATAGGCTATAATTTATGACGATCTGTGACAAACTAAATTTCACGCGGGTGAAACCGCGGGCAAAAGCTAGTTTTAGAATATTTTTTTTTTCTTTTTTTTTCATTTTTGTCATCTTACAGACAGATCTTACCTGTACATAAGTGATAGGGAACATTCCTGTCCGGCCAGAGCACTCGCCCTGGTACCAGAACGGGTCTAACTTCTTCTGCAGGATGATCATGTCGCCTTTCTTGAACGAAAGATCTCTGGAAAATCAAACATTCTGAATTATGTAATTGCAAAATTGAGAAAAAAATGGCGAAGAATAGAACTGTGCCAAGTTATCTATTTTCATGGTAATTCTACTGATATACTCTACCGTAAGTGTAAATATGTAAATGTGTTGAACACACATACATCCTCATACTGTTAATTTATCTGCTAATTGTCAACTGACCATAGAATTTATTAAAGCAATATAAATTAGTCANTTTATTGTCCACGTACAATAAGATTATTACTAAAAAGAAATTTCTTCCAGCACACCTAGTAAGTGAGGCTGCAAATGTGAGAGGCGGCTAAGGCGCGTACAATATTAAAATAACTCATAATAAACATACATAATGCAACATAGATGTACACAAATACAGTAATAACTACAGATAAAATACTCTAACAATAATATTACATAATAATATACACATTGCATGTTTTAATCATATTATAATACCCTATTTTTCTCAAATCTGCAATGTTTTAATTTTGTTAAATTGGTAATGACGTCAATTTTGGGAGAAGGGGGGGGGGGTCCATTAAGAAATGACGATAGGATGATTGTAGCCTTCTAAAAGCTTTTCGGAATTATAATTGAGATAATTTCTGCAGGTAGGATTTAAAGAACTTCTATAGAAGCATTTGTACTGTAACAGACGAGGCGAAGAAAATCGGCAAAACTTGGAGCGAGACCAAACGCGAAGCTCAAGACCGAACGCGATGGAGGACTGTTATGGACGCCCTCTGAACCATCTAGGGGACATAGGACCTTAAGTCAAGTGAGTCATAGAAGTATTTAGATACGTACCCCTGCTCCTTAGAGATGTAGTCGTGCAAGGCCCTAGCATGCGGCGGCATTTGCTTGCCGTCCGCGCGCCCCATCTGTTGCGGGCCTTGTTGCAACTGGGCCTGCAATACAACATAATTATTGAAACACTGCATAGATACATTGAGATGATAATGAGCGAAAGGATACAGCCGACTTTGTGGATTGGTAAAAATCAATTGCAACAATAATGGTACTTTTAGGCCCAGAACAGACGGTGAAACGCAATTGCAACGAAACTGCAACTGCTAGTTACTTTTGAGTTGCATCTAAGTTTCTGCCATAGCGTCCGTTGAGAGACCACACATGACGCGACCAGTTTGAAACGTTCAGTTTCAGTTTCATTCATCAGAATCATCACAAAGTTGCAGTTTCGTTGCAGTTGCGTTTCACCGTCTGTTCTGGGCCTTATAGTTTCACGTGACTTCTACCAGCTCTTTTAAATAATATCAGGTATTTAAAGTCTTCACTGCAGGAGGACGAACCCTCTGTAATTTATCAGCGGCAAAAGTTAGTATTCCCCACGCTAGCGAGAAGGGTTGAGGGCAGCTTGGACTAAAGTCCGCATTTTTCCCTTAGTCGCCTCTTAAGACATCCACAGGAAGAATGGATAGTGGTGGTCTTATTTTAGCACACAGCTAATCCCTAACAAAATTAAGGATAGCTTCACAGCAAAACATTAGCATCTTATTTAGTTGCGATAAGTGCTACTTTGGAATAAAATCTATAGCCTGCCTGTACGGCTGCCTTTTATGACTCACGTTCAAAACTTATCTTGCTCTTTCAACGATCGTCGAGTGCCTCTTTTGTGCATGATACAAGCCATTGATTGCCGCTATCAATTGCCACTTGAAAGGAGTGTAGCCAAATACGTGTTAATTCAATATTGGGACCTAAATTTACAAGAGTTCAGAGCAGGATCGAAACAAAATCCTGAGCTTGTTATAAAGTAGACAAATCTCATTAAATTGATATTCACAAGTTCGCAACTCATTAATGCATTTTTTATCGTAACATTGGAGTTTAAAATCTAATGAAATATTTTAACCTAATACTACGTGACTACTAACGGCCCGCTGAAAGTACAGGGCACAAAGTTCGACCAAATAAGCTCGCAGCACTTTAAGTAACTACTGCAAGTCAGCTGAAACTACGACACGTTTGGTGTAATCCTGCAACTTTCGTCTAACAAACAACTACACAACTACTTACTTCTACCGCAACGATACATTTAGCATCACTCGTAGCGTTGTGTCGCTTTCATCATCATCATTATTTCAACCATAGGACGTCCACTGCTGAACATAGGCCTCCCCCAATGATTTTCACAATAGCCGGTTGCGGCCTGCATCCAGCGCCCTGCTACCTTTATGAGGTCGTCCCAACTTGTGTCGCTTTCGTCATCGTAAATTGTCTTACCAATTGAAGCTGCGCTTTCGTCCTGTGCCCCGAGCCTGTAGGTTTCCTCGGAGCCGAGTTCTTCATGCCTTCGAGGATTCTCATGAGGAGGACGTTCGGAGGAAGCTCCTCCACCTTCGCCTCGACCAGGATCCGGCACTCGGGGCATCGCAGCTCCTTGTGGGACTCGACTATGACCTGGAAATAAGGATAGAATACTTCTGTCAATATAATGTTATACGTATATTTCTTAAAAGGCTTATTTCGTAAAAGGAAAGACGCTAAGTAAGAAGTAGAGTGCATTATGGTTTTATATTTCATCATCATCATTTCAGCCACAGGACGTTCACTGCTGAACATAGGCCTCCCCCAATGATTTCTATAATGACATAGTTCCATAGCGTGCTATGGAAAGGGCTATGCTCGGCGTTTCTTTTACATGAAAAAAGTATTTTTTTTACACTCTTTCGTAAAACCGTTAAGATTATCATCAATGTATCATAGAGGTTTTCCTAAAAAAAAGGTAAAGAATAACGGAGCCGTGTGATAAGGATTGTTTTACAATTTATGCATGTACTCATAAGTTGCGTGACTAATTTGTATGTTAATACTATGGGTAGTATTAACATTCCATGGTTTTGTTATTATGTTCAACAACAACAACATTGTGAAGTTTAAAAATAGTTTGTCCATCAAATCGCCAGTGAATAAAATTAGATGCTCGATGAAGTTATCTGCAGTAGCTATTGTGAGCATTTAACACAAATAGCCTATCTACCAATTATTTCTTTATCAGTCAATTAACACGATAGTTCAGATAGTTTATGAGCTAACCGGCCAAGCATTATGTAGCAGACCAATCGACTATTGATAGCTTCAGATCTAAACATTTGTGGACAATACCCATGTTTTAATACTGCTCTGTAAACTAAGTAGCGTCTCAATAAAAACAAGTTCGAAAATATTAGAAAAGTATTCTATAGTCATAAGAGAGCATCATTCTACAAAGAGGGTTAATAAATAATTTTAATGGAAGTAGCCACCTATTCTTAGGTACTTATAGCTTTTTTAATTGCCTTCAGAGTCCAAGTCCGAGTCAAAAGAATGACCTGTGCGTTATTACGGGTCCACATACGAACGAGTTTAAACATTAAAGAGCAGTTTTAAATGAGTTGTGCAAGTTTAATCAGGCGAGAGGCCAACAAACTATCAAAATCGCTAAACGGACGCTGTATTTGGCGTACGTTCTGCCACATTTTGTCATATGGGTCACTGAATACATTCATAAAAAGTACATCGCTTAATGGCCCTTAAGTACATTATGTTTAAGTTAATTATTCCATGCTTTAAGCCCTTGGCTAGCAGCGGGCATACGACTGTAAAAGCGTATGAAAACGCTAAAGCTAGCGCGTGCCAAAAGCTTCAACTTACATATCTCTATTTTGTTAAATTCAATTTAACTCTATGAGGTTCGCTTGTAGTTTATTAAACCCTAGCCAGGATAACAAATAACAGTACCTCTTAATTACGACATAATTAACCCTATGATAAGCGCAAAACTAATTTTATCCTGTTTTTGAATGAAATTATGAAAACAGGAAAATTTTACTTTATGATAGTCGACATAATGATAAGTCCTGATGTGGTACAGAAATTTAAGGAAAAATACATAACATAATTTTAAACCAATAGTTCGCAAACGACCTCCTCTACATGGGAATTTGCTATGACGGGTATAGTTCCAGTCACCCTGTATAAATAGCAACCTAGCAAATAATTACGGGGGCTTGCGGAGTTTCTTGAAAACGACTTCAAAGAAAATGCAATAGCATACATGAAGCTTAGCTTAGCTTAGCATAGCTTAAGTAACATAAAATAAAACTAACGCCCGCGACTGATACACAGAAACTGATATAGGATTGACATATTTATTGAGGCAATGCCTTGACGTGGGAATTGATCGATAAATCAAATAGCGTTCTAATTACAACAACAAAACGATTAACTTTTATCCACATTCAAATACAAAGCTAACTTAATTAATATTAACATAGTACTAGTATACAGGGTGGACAGGGAGTTGACATTCTAAGCTAAAATTTAGATTCCTTACATTAAGGTGTATCTAAATCACCCCCATGTATGTTCTACGATTTTGCTTATTTTAGGAGATAGAGTTAATTTTGTGATTTATCCTAAAGTATCATATGGTTGGTTTTTATTTTTTTCTCACTCTGGAAGCTTCTCTAGCATAAGTAAGTAAAAACAAACTACAAGTGCTCGCCTATTTTATTATGTGAACGGCAACTCTATGGGTATTGAAATGGCCATTACATGTTGCGATGTCATGCATTCTATGACTGAATTTAGGCCCTTATCAGAGATACGTCATGATGTGTTCGAGGAAACCTATTGTGTACCTTTCACCGCAGTAGGTAAAGACTATAGCTATCTTATCAATTTCGCTTGATTATCAATATCTTTCGCTCAAGGCATACCGGTTTATTTGATTCCGGGTGACATTGGCCTAATTATCATAATAAAACAGTATTTATGTAGTAGTAAGCTTCTAAAAATATAAATGAATGTGCGAGTTTAGATGAAGTCTGGCACTATTCATACATAGTTCGTCTGGCTACGTAAGGGGCAACAAACTTTGCGCTTAGAAATGGCAGATCTTCTCACTTTAAAAATACCTGCAGACGTTTCTGAATCGATAACATTCTTCAATGAAAGTGTGAGTAATATTCTCTCTAAATAGTTTTACATGAATTTTATTCCTTGAATATCTCAAGTAAGTCCAACAAAGAGTGTATGTACAAAGGGATGATGCATCGAGTAAAACTTGGTAGAATGCAATATAACAATTTAGGTCCGTAACCGTTCGAAACAGAGGCCGATCTATTTTTACATGGCACACAAGAAGTGGGGGCAGACGTAAGTGGGGCAATTAGTGATCAATACCATGTCGGCTCTGGCGAATGACATTTATTGGAAAATACTTGAATACGAATGGGGATTCTTTCTCTTGCAGTGGGGTCNAACCCCGATGGGAGCGCTTAACGGGTCAGGTCGAGACTGTCTGCAGTTGCGCTTTTCCAGTATTTTCTAGAACTTTGAAGATAAAGGATTGGCGATTGTTTTATATATAGTGGATTACAACAAATCATTTTGCTATCTTTAAATAAATTAGTAATTACTCATGTGTTTGTTATGTATACGAAAACAATGGGGCATTTCAAAACTACGCAACGTTTACATCCTTGTCTAAATTTGGATATCGGCTTTATGTTAAGTACTTTTTATATACCGCCTTTTCAGTGCCGTCATATCGACAATAAAACTGGATCAAACTTGGCTTATTTATTTATAGTGGCAACCAATGTGGCAACGTACGTGATTAACTACCAATGTGATGATGTCTTTCAACTCGACCAGGGGGGTAATCATTCAAACGAAGATGTTCACAGCATGACAATCTGTGTCTAATCATCACGAGCTCTTAATTACATAAATGTAATATCAAAAACTGAAAGCTATAATTTGATTTCAATTTGTTTCTTAAAATAAACCCGTAGAGTTCAAATAACGCCCTTTACAAAACAGAAAACAGTTTTGTTATTCAGTAAATAGCTTTTCAGCTGGTTCGTTCCCACGTAAGACATTTACAGGTAGCGTGGGTCCAATGTCTTAGTAAATCCTTCCAACCTTTCGTGTGTAGGCGCCATAACTGTGGGAGGTCGTATCGCTAAACGTTTGATGGAAAATAAGGCGCCGAACAAGTGAACAATTGAACTAGATATTGAGAGCTCGTGAGCTATGAATGTTGCAATTGTAAGCCTTTTAGAGCAGCATAATATTCTTTTTTTTTTTTCACCTCAGAAAAATGCATTAAATTGCATAACCACGAGTGAGGAATAGCTATTTTATGATGGGTTCTCTCCGCAAGAAGGGCGGTGTCTGTCTACCCACTAAAAACTTACGAAGGGTATTATTTTTTTAGTATGTAGTAGGGATTAGTTTTATTTATAGAACTTAAAATTACAACCTACATTATTTAGAAACTAATTACTGATTTTAATCAATAACGGTTTCATAATATCAAGTGCCAGAAGGCACTGCCTATTTCAATAATACCGAGTAGATTTACACGAGCCTTATACGCTAAATTAATAAATACTGGTCTTTACCGATGCTGATTCCATGGATCTTAGGTCGATATCCCATGAAATCACAGCATTATATTGGTCAGCTAGTGACCGGACTATCCCCCAAGGATGCTTTGTAATTGGAACTTGATAGGGGCTTCGAGTTATAGAAAAATAAGAAGGCATTGGACTTAATTTCATTGCTAATTAAATCAAGAGCAGACGAAGCTGCTACAATTAATTCTAGCGCATCCACACACAAGCAAGTAGTATTAATTAGGACCGTATGTGTGAGTTAAATGTTGACAGCTTGGCACGCGTACTAACTCTTAATGAGTCTCAACATCTACTGAAGCACTCCATGGCCTTTGTGAGTTTAAATTTGTGCAGTCCAAAGCACCGCGATAACCACTGCAAGTGCCATATAATATGCAATTCATTTGCAGCGACGTTTAATTGTCGCTTTGTGAATCCTTGAAACCGACGTTTACTAATTTGGAAACAGCTTCACCGTTTCGTTCATGTCTTACATCAAATATCAAAATAGCTCTATCGCCAATTGAAATTAATTTTAAAGAAGGACGTAGGCTGCCTAAAAATAATATATGTAGACTCCCATCATTTCTCAAGTTCAGGTATTATGCAAACTTAATAATTATACAAGGTGTTTGATCTGAGAACGCGCGCGACTACAAAATAAACGCAGGCGAAGCTGCATTCAGAAGCTAGTAGTTTGTAAAAAAAAGGAATTTCCTATAAATAAATCTATCTAAATTAAGACAATAGAGTCGAGATCCAAGACAAAGATCGGTGTATTAATAACGCGGTCCTTTAAAGCGAATGAAGGGGGAGTTACAACTGTTTCAAATTATATTTCCGTATTCTTGTCCCGTTTGTAAAGATCTTCATTTGTAGATCTTTGGATTGGCCGTTAAATAGGGACTTAATAACAAGTTGATCTTTCGTTTGTATTTCATTTTGTAAACGTGATTATCTCTGTCATTTTCCTTACATTATAAGGATTGTTTTGTATTTAAATATCAATCAATC